GGAAGAAATCGGGCACACTAGACACCTCTGGGAAAATCCAGAACTGAGCATATGCAGACTGAGCGCAGGGGAAACCTGTATGCCTAAAGCCACCACCAGGCGCATGACATCACACAGGTGGGCCTAGACTCTGTGTCTTCCAACACACACACACACACACACACACACACACGTCCGTCCCCCCACCAGTGGAGTGGGAGCGAATAACCCCCAGTGTGGACCCATCGCGCTCTGGGCCGGCCCAGGGTCTCCTTCCTCTGCTCTTGCTCAGGTGCGTGCTGCAGGCCGAGGGTGGGAGTCTAAGCGCAGGAGGGCCCTCTGGGGCCCCGCCACCCCTCTTGGCCTCCAGATCTTCCCCAGTTCACACTCCCTGTTCTTGTATTCTTTCCACGTGGTTTTTCACTCCCAGTGTCCAACCCCAGTGTGGCTTCCACGCGGGCTGGCATGCTTTCTAGAAATAGTGTGTTCCTTTTTGAGACTGTAATGCCCGAAACTCCCTTTCCTTCATAAAAACTCACTTGGGTTAAAAATAAAAAGTGCTTGTGTTGTGTGAATTCTTTCAGCGCCGTAAAACAAAAAAACACACACGTTAACCCCCATCCAGAAACCTAACAGTAACAGTTGGTTAGTCCTTCCTCCTCAAAGCATCGTGCCAGCTACCCCTCAGCTGGTCCAGCTCCTTGTGACAGAGGACGCGGCCCTAAGCGAACAGACGGAGAAGGGAAGAAGCATCCTAAAAGAATTCACGAAGGACATGATAGCGCCCTCTGGTCTGGAGAATCATTTTGTGACACGTGCAGTCATTCGCTCACTGAAATTGAGTGAGGACCAGCTATGTGTCAGGTATGTTGCAAGGTACTGGGTTAAAAAAGGAAACGAAAGCAAGGCTGCGCTGCAGGTTTGTCGTGTCATCTGTCCTGAAGGAGCCGGGCACTGTGCAGCGTGGGGGCACCAGGCAGAGGAGCAGGCGCACTGCGGGAGGTGGGGGAAGAGACCAGAAGACCTGCCAGCGAAGGGGCATTTGAGCTGAGTGCTGCTGAATACGGTCTTTGAGTCAGAAAAAGAAAAAAGAGTACAGCTGTGTTTCCCCTATTATGTTTAACAGACAAAAGAAAAGTCCCCTTAGAGGAGCATTACAAGATCGCACTGGCAGTTGAAGGAGCCACTTATTGAGAAGTTGACTGGTTTTCATCAAGGACACTTCTCTTGTCTTCTCTCCTTTGTTGAAAAGGGAGAATCGTTCTCTATTTCTTGCCACAAAGTCCACCTGAGTTTCGCAATGGAGGCCGTTGAGGCAATCTCCTCTATGATGACAGATGGGTACACCAGAGAACCTCTCCCATAGAAACCACAAGCTGGGCCTGGAACAAAAGGACTGTCACGCAAAAGCAGGGTTTTGGAGCAGGTAAAAGAAAAGGGTAGATCCAGGCTGAGTGACATGGGAGATAGGCCATTGCATTAAAAAAGCAAATTTCAAAAGACAAGATGCTGTTGTTATTATGTTAGAATCTGTATACAAAATACCTATTAGTGTAGCTCAAACATAGCAACTGTTTTCTCTGAGGTGCGATATTGTAACAGAGTTTACATTTTCCAAAGGAGCCCTGGTGGCCCTGTGGGTTAAGCATTGAGCTGCAAATAACACGGTCAGTCATTCAAACCCATCAGTTGCACCTGGGGAGAAAAAAATGACGCTACCTGCTCATTTGCAGTCTTGGAAACCCTAATGAGTAGTTCTACTCTGTCCTGTTGGGTCACTATGAGTTGGATTCTACTCAATGACAGTGGGTTTTGCACTTTTTAAGTCTTAAGTGTGGGCATTGTTCTGTTTATAACAAGCATGCACTATTTTGTGATTTTAAATAAATAAATAAAGATTTGCTTAGAACATGGGTCTGATTTGTTTATATTCAAGACTTGGTGATTGACTCAACATTCCAGAAACATGCAAATAGAGAGCTTCTCTAAATCATATCATTTGTCAATGTTTACAGGAAGAAAATACACTGAGACTAAGAAGCAGAATGTGATTTTTCTCATATTGTGACTCTTAGACAGTAGGTTAAGCTAGAGAGCTTAATTGTGCATTTCTTTAAGGGAAGCCATTGCTAGTGTCCAATGTGATGCAGGTAAAGAAGACAGAGAGATTTATAAGCTACTATTTTCCTAGGATTGGTGGCTCAAAATACCTAGTGGAGCTTCAGAAGACAGACCTGCTTCTGCAAAGATTACAATCTGACTATAATGAGAGTGTGGTCAGCACAAATGTTGGAGGCAAAGGAACATGCTAGGAGAAGTACAAGAGTTAAGGGCAATAGAGGTAACTACTATTATATACACAATCCTGCAACACCAATAGTCTGTGAACGGTTGCATAGACAGACATTCAAGCTGGACAGGTATAGGAAGAAGAATGGAACTCTCCATGAATGTATATAGACTTTTCAGAGGCTATTTCTCCATCTGTATGTACATATGCTATAAATACATCCATACATATCATAAAGCATATAGTAGGTCACGTTACGAAAATTTCTTGGCTGTAGCCATATACCTTGAGGGAATGAGTCTCTGGGCCTGGGAGCTGAGAAACATCATCTCTACCACACCAATGTCCCTGGACATCACATGAACAAAAACCATGTTCTACACCCTTCTCTGGTGAATAGTGGCTGGGATCTTACAAGCTTGGGAGTCACTATCTTAGGGGCAACTATTGGTCATTTTTCATTCGGAACAAGATGAATGAAGAAAATTAAAGACAGATGGAAAAATTAGTCCAATAAACTAATGGATCATGACCCAGCATCTATGACTCTGAGGCCAGAACTAGATGGTGGTCAGCTGCCACTGCCAACCACTCTGAAAGGAATCACATTAGAAAGTTCTAGATAGAATGGGAAGAGTGTGGGGACTATGGGGCAGAACTCTAAATTATACAATTAAAAAAAACAGGTTTGTTGGTCATAGAGAGAGACTGGTGGAACTTTGAGGCCAATTTGGCCTAGAATGGAACTTACCCCATGGCTCAGTTTTCAGCCAAACAACATCAGGTCTATCAGGGGAACAATAACACCAGAGAGGTATGCACTCCTTAGAGTAGTCACTGATTTAAGATCAAAAGAGTAGCCCTTGCCCAAGGACCAAGTTCAGAAGGGTTAAATAAAGAGGAGGATGGGACGCGGGAAGCAGGTGCGTGGTGTGGCCTTGCTGGGGGTGCAGAACACTAGCAAGGTATGCATCCCTTAATGTAACCAACCATTTGAGATCAAAAGAGCAGCACTTGCCCAAGGACAAAGATTACAAGGTAGGAAGGGTTAGGAATGAAGGAGGAATGGCAACTGAAAACACGGGAGGAAACGGGATCAGTGAAGTTACACTGCTGGGATTGTAATCAATGTTTTTTCTTTAATGTAAACTTTCATCCAATTCGCAATAAATTCACTGACATCAAGTCAATTCTTACTCGTAGATACCCTATAGGACAGGACCGAACTGCCCCTGTGAGTGTCCAACACTGTAATTGTTTACAGGAGTAGAAAGCCCCGTCTTTCTCCCAAGGATCACCTGGTGGTTTCGAACTGCTGGCCTTGCGGTTAGCAGCCCAACTCCTAACCACTATGCCACCAGGACCCCTTATATTCACAACCAAAAAAGAGGGTTTTGTTTGTTTAAAACCATATTCTAGAAAACCCTATGGGCAGTTCTACTCCATCGTATGAGTGGTTATGAACTGGAATGGACTAGATGGCGCCTGCCAACAACAAATTTCCCAGGGGAACAATGCACACAGACGTGTCTTGAATATTACCCTTAATTCTTTTTATAGACCTTAGAATATTCATTAAAATCTTGGAACAAAATCTATTTGATTCACAATGACTTAGCGAGTACTTGGATTGCTCTAGGCCCTGGACGGTGCCTGGTGACCTAATGTATGCCAGAGTTTCACTGTGCCCCCCCGGGGTTCAAGGGCTGACTTTTCAGAGGCCCGTCAGCCGAGGTCGAGTGTCCGAGGCAGGCTCGGTCAACCTTTCCAGCAGCAGACCGTCGCATCTGTCTCTCAGCGGTGGCTGGTGGGTTGGAGGTGAAAACCTGGTGGTTGGCAGCAGTGAGTAAATGGTCCAAGCGTCCTGTTCTCCTGGATTGTATGTCCTCGTGAAGAAACCATGAGGAAGCGAATATAAAAACAGTAACAACCGGCCTAAAATATGTAGATTGGAAGATCATAAAGGATCCAGGGAGAAGCATTGTGGAAGAGGCCATTGGTGTCCTCAAAATTTGGGCTCCACTGGTTATCAAACTGGCGTCTCTTTATAAATTTAACTTTGATGGAGACAGACATGACCAGTCATCAGGACGACCAGTTGCTGGAAAAGGACATCAGACAGGGGAAAGTGGAGCGTCATTGGAAAGGGGCAAACCCTCCCCGAGGGGTTGACACAGTAGTTAAAATGAACTTTACACAGAAAGGGTGAATTCATGGGAACTGACTTTTGCACAGCAGGGAGGCTGAGGCCCAGGCTCACAGGCTAAACCCCCTCGGATTCCTAACCCTCCCTCTTTTGCCTGAGTCTCATTCCAGGCCAGGGACCGCATGCGGTGCAGTCCCTGATCCCTTGCAAGAAGAGATGGGGTTGTTGATTTTTCATTTACACAAAAATGAAAAATAAACACCGGGTGTTTGCAAACACACCAGGGCTCGTCATGCTGGAACTTAAAATGTCTTCTGACCGAGGGAATTAAATGAGAAAATCCACGTAGCGGGGGAAAAAGATGTTTTGAGTGAAAACGCACTCTGTCCTTCTCTCTCTCTCTGTCTCTCACACACAAACAGTGTCTCATTGTTTCTTCTTCAGGGAGCAGCTGTGTAGGAAATTGGGAGGGTGGGGGTGGCAATGGACCAAACATCCCATCTTTGTGTTTCATACAGAGCTAAGCTTCTAGGCCAGCCTTCCCAAACTGTAGGGGGTGTGGCGTGCATCAAAAGTAACCATCAACAACCTTATAAAGTCACTTGGAAGAAGCCGACCAACACAACAGGTGCCTCTGGCTGGAAGATTTTGCATGTGAAAACTGCCTTCACCTTGACTCGTTTGAAAAAGGTATGTGGTTTTCCTTTTATGTTTATGACCAATCGTGTCTAAAATGAAGACAGTCTTGACTTACCTGATTTGACTAAAACTAACAGCTACCACTGAGGGAGGGCCAGTGCCAACGGCTTTTCAGACTTGGCCTCGCTTTTCTGCACAGCAGCTCAGTCTTGTCGGTGCCACTTTTCAGATGAGATAACTGAGTTCAGGTGTAATAAGCAGCAGGTCTAAGGTAAGATGGACAAAAAAATGTCAGAGCTGGGGTGCAAACCCAGGGCTGATGCACCCCAAAATCTTCTGCTTGCAATATCCCATGCCCCACTCCCTGGACAATTGAGACAATGAGAAACTTTGCTGGACATCAATATGATACTATTTGAATTCTCAGAAACTAATTATTCAACCAAGCATTAAAGTAAGATTAACTGAAAACTTAGCTGGAATTAATTACATGAGAAAGAAAACACATTTAGCAATATGGCACCAAAATTTTTTTTTACAGTGATATATTTTCATTTCAGATTCCATTTTAAGATCCAGTTAATTGTGGATATACATTTTGCTTTTTATCATGAGGAACCAAAAAAATCTAGTTCTTAATGTTCTGCAGTTTCCTGAGACCAGGAAGAGGACCTACTCTTCTCTGCTGGGAACACCAGCACCGAGCTGCTGTGTGTAATCACACAGGCGCTTAGGAGACCTGGGGGTCAATTCTGGTTTCCGCAGCTCACCAGGAAGTAACCTGAGCAAATTCGTCTCCTTAAGTATAAAGAAGGAGCCCTGGTGATGTAGTGGTCACCCACTGGGCTGCTCATGACAGGTCAAGCCCACCAGCCACTCCTCAGAGCAAAGATGAGGCTTTCTACTCCTAGACGCAGTCTTGAAAACCTACCAGGGCAATTCTGGTCTGCCTTCCAGGGGCACTCTGAGTCAGAACTGACTCAGTGGCTCTGAGTTCGTTCATTTTGTGTTATTTATATGTTTGTTGGTTTGGAGTATGAAGCTAATGTCAGCTGAGGCACTTTCCACAGAAGCTGTGACGGAAGCGTGGAGCTCCCAGTAAACCACTGGAGACAGAGCGTCTGGGGATGGAGGGACAAAGTTACTGAGTGCTAGCCATGATCTACAGTGTTAGGGCCCAAGTGAACTTGGTTAGAATTATTTTTAATTCTTTAGTATTTAAATAATATTCATTTTAATTGATGGAAACTCTTCTCATTAAGACTATCTTCCGATTGGTCTCAGAAGAGAATGCAAAATTATGCCACGCATGCGCCATCTTTGCCCCAAGATCATGGTTAAGCATTCAGAATGTGCTTTACCCTCAGGGCTCCGTGAATGGGCATGGAAGGGGTAATGGGAAAAGTGAAGTATGGCATCAGCTCTTTCACAAGTTCTGGCCACAGAAATAAAACTACTGCAAACTGGGAGGCATCTTAGCAGAGATGCAATTCAGGGGAATAAACCTTGCTCTGGAATCCTCCCACAGAGCCAAAGAAAAGGTGTCAGCCCACAAGAGAGCATCTTGTACTAAGGGCTTTGTCAGATTAAGATATAGAACTGGCTTTTGTGGCAACTGTCATGGGTGAAGTAAGATTCCTCAAGTGACAGACGTTAGGTGCTATTGAAAGCCACCTAAAGTGGAGGAAACATCATGTAGGTAGGGCCACTGCAGAGGAGATGGGATCTGACTCCCGATCTCTGTCCCACTCAGGGTGCAGCTTCCCCCCTTGTACACGGGGGAAAGGGAGCGGAGCTGGATGTGTGAAACCAAATCTACTGCTTCCGAGTGGATTCCAACTCCTGGGGACCCAAGGTATTCCAGAGTAGAGCTTCTCCACGGGGTTTTCGTGGCCGTAATCTTTACTGAAACATCACCCTTTCTGCTAAGTGGGTCCATCTTTAACTTAGTGATGAGCACAAACTTTGCACCAGCCAAGGATTGGATCAAGATTCACTACCATCAGGCAATTCCAACTCACAGTGACCCTATAGGATGGGGTAGAACTGCCCCCTTTGGGTTTCCGAGGCTGCAATCTTTCTGGGAACAGAATGCTTCCTCTGCCCCCCTCAGAGCAACTGGTAGATTTGAACCGCTGCCTTTGTGGTTAATAGCCCAGCATACAGCCCACTACGCCACTGGGGATCTTCGAGGGGTTGAATAGCTGACTTCAAGAATCCCCTTGAGTTTTGGGGGAGAATGTGCATAATGTACATCCATCTTTGGGGGTTAGATCATCTGGGGAAGTTTCTTAACTTGGGGCTACTAAGGGGTCAGAGGTGGAAAGCCAGTGGTTCTCAAAAGTTCTTGACATTTTTGTGGGTCGGGGCTGCCTTTCTGAAAGGCTAGGATCCCAAAGAAGGTTAACAGGCAGATGCTGTCGATCTTGATCAATGAGTCTATGAGAGAATCCTGATGGAGGGAGGGGAGGGATGGAGAACAACATTTCAAATTCTCATGGAATCCAGCGCTAGGGAGGCTGGATGAACCCCTAAAACTATTACCCTGAGATCATCTTTAGATCTTGAACCAAAGATATCCCTTGAAATGTTTTTAAAATAATAATAAACGTCTGCCTTGAGCATTGTCCTCTCTCGAGATCTATCTATATGGGATCAAAATGAGCAAACAACTTGAAAGATTAGATAGGAGACTTAGCGGGCAGTGCGTTCATGGTAAGAGACTGTTAGGAGGAAGGAGCAGCTTCCCAATAGGAGGGTTGGGGTGGTCGCACAGCTCAAACACTGTCCCCCGTGGTGCTGAATTGTACACGTAGCAACGACACGTTTGGCTGTACTTACCCTCGGTCACGAAAATTAAATAAATGTTACATACAAGAGGGCTTCAAGAAATTCACAGAGAAATGGAATGGAAAGATAATGGAATCTTCCGGGGGACTTTTTGAAGTCCCTGTGTTGCGTGGGCACACGCACACGAAGAGGCTTCAAAAAGTTTGTGGAGATTGTTTCTCTTTCCCTTCCCCTTTCCCAAGAAGTCTTGGCAGCCCCTTCGCACATTCCAAAAGACGATGTCTCTGCGGCTGGGTAGGAACCGCTGGGGAAAAGGCGCCTCCCGGAGAGAGAAGGTGGTCTGGGCCCGTCAGCCATGCCCTTCCCCTCCACCCCCAGCTGGCAGCTTTTACTCATTGCATAACCGTTCTTTTGAAAACCAGGCAACGAAACTGCCAGAAGAAAAGCTATTGATTATTAAAGGTTATTTGGAGGTTTAGACTCATCATGAAGTGGTTATAATTATCCCTGTTATGACACCTCCTTAAAGGCTGGCATCTGAGAACCCGCTGCTTGCCTTGACTCGGCTTCATCACAGGGGGGGAGGCGATGAGCTAGAAATAGCGCTTGGGTGCAGCTACAGGCAAGGAGTCAACAGCCATCCCCTCCAGCAGCGCCACAGCCCCCGGGCCCCAGCCCCTAGACCCGTCCCCAAAGCTTGCTGCACAATGAGGCACCCATCAGCCACCAGCCCTTGTGTGGTGAGATGCCCATCCCTTGTGAGCGCCACACCAGCCGAGTCCTCTGCCCTAGAGTAACTTCTGACTCACAGCGACCCCGGAAGGCCAGCAAAACAGGGACTCGGGAAAGACATTTGTTTCGTGGTACAGATCATTAGCATTTGTTGTTGTCAGGTGCCAGGAAGCTGATTCCAAAGTTCGGACTCATAGGGACGGCAAGCACAACCGAAGGAAGCGCTGTCTGGTCCCGCCTGAGATCAATTAGCATTGATTGAGCACATCCTCCGTGGTAGACCTGCTTCGAAGTGCCTCCATCTGTATCCTCCTCCTTTAATCCTCACAAACCTCATGAGCTAGCTATGGTTATGATCGCTACTCACTGGACAGGCAAACGCTGGCATCCATGGGACACAGGTGTCCTTAATATGTGGGACAGCGGTGGGTCAGCGCAAGAATGCTCGCCTTCGATGTGGGAGAGCTGAGTTTGATTCCTCACCAAGGATCCCCAGGCACAGCCACCACCTGTGTGTCAGTGGAAGTGACAGATGCTCCGAGGCTGAACAGCTTTCAGTGGAGTTTACAGACTGAGTCTTCCAGACTAAGGCAGAGTGGGAGGAAAGGCCTGGCAACCTAGTTCTGAAAACTCAGCCAGGGAAAACCAAATACTGTTATACATCGGGTCTCCATAGGTCAGGGGTGAGGTGAAGACAGGCTCGACACCTCTCAACAGCAGCAGACAGAAGACGTAGCTGGATTCGAACCCAGCCAGGGTAACTCAAGACTCCCCAGCGCACCATTCCTTGTTCAGGTTACAGGCCTGTTGGAGCAGCCCTGCAAGATGAGGGCTGAGGAGGCTGGAAGAGGGTAGTCAAGAGAAGGCATTCGTTTCCCTTGGAGAATCTTCTCGAACACTAAGTGTGAGCTGCACTTGACTTTGTAAGATTTACTAGATGCAGCAATCTCTTCCTGGGCCGAGTCCCCATGCTGCTTTCCGGGACTCAGCAAGTGTGGACTGCGCCTGGCACTGTTAGGTTCGGTGGGTGGCGCAGGGAAGACACCCATCGATGGATCGTGGGCCCGTGCCTGAGAAAAGCAGAACTGGGCAGAGGGGAGGAGGCATGAGCAGACCAGGCAGCGTGTGTTCTGATGAAGGTGCACCAGGCCCCAGAAAAAGGGAAGGGTTCTCCCTGGGAAGTAACAGCAAGAGCTCAGGTGGAGCCAGAGGGCGGGAGCGTCCAGAGGGAGAGGGAGTGTGGAAATCTCCCCGCAGTGATGGTGGGCCCTCAGGAGACTTGGGACACCTCTGTCTGCTTTGTTTCCCTCAATGCCAGGTTCCAGCCACAGCCAGCCGACCCCAAGATGCCGCACAGGCTGCTGCTGCTGCTTTCCGTCCTGGCGGGCCTCTCCGTGGGTGTGGCAAAGGGGCAGGCGTTCCACACTGGGAAATGCCCGGATCCTCCCGTGCAGGAGAATTTCGACGTGAACAAGGTGTGGTCAGTGGCTAACCCTTTCTGCTTTGTGAGCTCCCCTGGGAATCACCCCTGCAACGCTCTCTTTTACTTTTCTGTTTTCCTCAGCACCGCAAGCCGCTGCCACACACATCCCGTCCTATTTCAACCCACTGCCAACGAGCTGATTCCCTACATAGGGTTTCCAAGCCTGTAACTCTCTTTTTTTAAGAAATCATTTTATTGGGGGCTCGTACAGCTCTTATCACAATCCAAACATACATCCATTGTGTCAAACACATTTGTACATTTGTTGCCATCATCATTTTCAAAACATTTTCTCTCCACTTGAGCCTTGGTATCAGCGCCTCATTGTGCCCCCTCCCTCCGTGCCCTATCCTCCCCACCTCATGAACCCTTGATAATTTATAAATTATCATTATTTTGTCATAGCTTACCCGGGCCGATATCTCCCTACACCCGCTTTTCTGGTGTCCATTCCCCAGGGAGGGGGTTATATGTAGTTTCTTGCGATCAGTTCTGCCTTTCTCCCCACACCTTCCCCTTCCCATCCTGGTATTGCTACTTTCATTATTGGTCCCGACGGGTTTATGTGTCCAGGATTTCCTGTGTTTCCAGCTCTTATCTATACCCATGTACATTCTCTGGTCTAGCCAAATTTGTAAGGTAGAATTGGGATCATGATAGTGTGTGGGTGTGGGAGAGGGGCAGGGGGGGGCGGAGTGGAAGCATTAAAGAACTAGAGGAAAGTTGTATGTTTCATCATTGCTGTAGTGCACCCTGACCGGCTCATCGCCTCACTGTGACCCTTCTGTAAGGGAATGTCCAGTTGCCTACAGATTGGTTTTGGGTCTCCACTCCGTACTCTCCCTCATCCACATTGATATGACTTTCTGTTCTGGGTCTTTGCTGCCTGATACCTGATCCCCCCTGACACCTCATGATCACACAGGCTGGTGTGCTTCTTCCATGTGGACTTTGTTGTTTCTCAGTTAGATGGCTGCTTGTTTATCTTCAAGCCTTTAATACCACAGACACTTTATCTATTGATAGCCAGGCACCATCAGCTTTATTCACCACATTTGCTGATGCACCCATTTTGCCTTCTGCAATCGATCATGTAGGGAAGCTAAGCACCACGGAATGCCTGGTTATTAGAACAAAGTGTTCTTGCATTCAGAGAGTACTTGAGTAGAGGCCCAATGTGTGTCTGCTAACCTAATACTAAACCTATAAATATAATACATAGTTCTATTTCCCTATCGTTATATTTAAATATATTTACATATGTACATGCCTGTATTTAGACCTCTATAAGTGCCCTTTGCCTCCTAGTTCTTTCCTTTATTTCCCTCTTGTCCCACAATCACGTTCAGTCTTCGTTCAGGTTTCCATAATGAAG